GGGCCCCCCCTGCCATAGACTTTGATGCAGCTTTGAGGCTGACCTTGCTGCCAGAACTGAGGGATGCAAGAAAACCCCCACGCTGTGCAGCCCTTGGAGGAGCCCCGGGATGCCCCGGTGCTCATGCGCGGGTCTCGGGCTGATCATGATGCTCGTCCCCCGCAGAAAGAGCCTCGCAGGGTGCTCAGGGAGCACCCACCAGACATGGGGCAGGTGAACACAAGAAGCAGAGGGCACTAAGCCGGAGGCAGCAGGTGAAGAGAAAGGGGAGGCTGGGATCCCAGAGGACGGCGGCTTGCAGGGGGTTTCCTCTGGATTCAGAACAAGACAAGAGCAATGGTGTCAAGGGTTTCAGAATTTGTAAACTACTAAAAGAGAGGATCATCCTGCAACCAGAGTGTGGTATTTACTGAACATTTTGTGCAATGGATATAAAGGTAAATATTTTAAATGAAAACTCTGATAAAGGCTAGCTATGAACAAAGCTAAAATCATTACTATGATAAGAATAACATCATGATTATAATATACATGCAGATCTCTATATATTTGTTTTTTATGTCACCCTGATGTGTCCATAGACATTCTGAGATACAACGACAGCCAGGGGAGCCGGAGGTCAGAGTCTGGCATTGCACAGAAGGAGGAGCTGGGCTGTGCTGATGGAGATACGGACTGATGGCAATCAAGGTTCATGGTCTGACACCAAGATGGTGGAACGCGGCTCTTCTCGGGGGCCAGCACCCAAAAAGGGCATGTAAAAGCAGATGGTTTTGCATGTGGCATACAAAAGTAACGTTTTCCTAAAGAAGCAATATATCCCAGACTTCCAGGGCTGAGGAAGACACAGAAGTATTACGCTAGAAATGGTGCCTGTCTATCACCTTCCCCATAATGGCCAACAGAAGGCAGAAGTGGCAATGAAGAGCCAAGAGAACATTTCTGCTCAGTTCTTAGGAAGATGACTACTCCTATCCCCCTAAGATGATGAAGCATTTTCCAGAAGAGAAAGAAAGATGTGAACATTTGTTAAGGAAGCACATTTCTAAAACTGCCGAGCTGCGAGTTCTGCTGCGGGGAATCTTAACAGGGGACACTCTCAGTGCCTATGGGTGACCAAACTGCCCCAGGAGCCAAAGCCTAAAAACGGGACATTAACCTACTTCTTCCTCAGAAAAACAGCTCCCCAACGACCAAACTCCAACCCATGGACGTTCTGCCAGACGCGGTATCCCGAGGGATTGCTGCCTTCAGCAGAACCAGGCTCCTTGAGGACATCAGTCCTGGGACCCACCACAGCCAGGGACTGTCTCAACCCAAACTGTCCCATAAAATGTACATATATGCCCTTCTTCCTCCAGCCCCTGGAAACCAAATGGTAATGGCATGACTGTGATTAGCCCGGCACATACAGGTCAGCCCCTTTGGTGGCAAATAACGTTATGATGCCATGTGAGGGTCACCAGCTTGCTTGGCACTGGGCAGCTGGGGAGCAGGAGCACTTGCGGGAAGACCCTCGTGCTCGGGCCAGACCATGCTGTGCTGTGCAGCCATCCCTCGCGGTGGGGATGAGGAGGTCTGTGCAGCACCTGGTCCTTGCTGGGCAGGACCTGCATGGAGGCCCAGAGCCAGGCAATGAACGCATTTCCACCAAGGACAGGGGCAAGCTTGACTTGTCACGACTTACACGGAAAACCTGCTTGCAAGTAGCTTTAGGAACAACTTTAGCTTTAAGTCAGCAGGGAGCTCTAAAAGGCAGGTCCCAGTGCCCCTGGCTTTTCTCCAGCTGCCCATTGCCAATCAGTCTGGGCATCTCAGGGCAGAATGGCGTCCACTGGGAGCAGCTTCTTAGTTGCAGATGATGCAGAGAGTCCATCAGATGGAAAATTTTATGGCATATTCAGTGCTATCTCATTGGTCCAACCTTTCCCCTCCTTCCTGGGACAGGCCAATTCATGACTTCTAGGAACGCTTCGGATGCTGCATCGGGGTGAGTTCACATCCTTTCTGCTCGTTCATTTCTTCCCTCTCTTTGCAAGATCTCCGAACTGTTGCACTTCCTCCCGCCTCTTCTGAAAACACGCTTCATCCCTCCGGCGCCGCAGCAAGTGTCACTCGCCTGTCACCCTGCCACGGTCTGATTGCTCTTGCTTCCTGGACAGTTTCCACCCCACCAGCTCCTCCCGCCCCTGGTTCAGTGACATTTAGCCCGGTCCCTTCCCAACTGTCACCCTGCACAACAGGTTTCCCTGGCTGTCCTCACCTCTCCCCCCCACAACTGCCCCTGCTGCCAGCCCTTTGTCAAAACCTCAAAGTTCATGTCCTTTCTTATCTTCTCATGTCTTTTCTTTTCTTCTCAGGTCCCAGAAACTCCCTCTGTAAGGTCTCCACAGAGGTCAATGAGCTACAGAGCCCACCAAGACCCACTGCCCTTCTCCTTCCTGGGACATGGCAAACTGGGCTGGGGTCTTCTAGCTGGTCTCTGTGCTCTGCAGCCTCAAAAGAAAAAGCCTGCAGCTGAAGGGAGGAGGGCTGGACACCCCAAAACGCAACAAAACCCAGCTGAGAGGAGCTGTTGTCTTAGGTCCGGCATCATTTTTCACTAGGACTCTCCTAAAACACCATTCAGGACATCCCCAAAGAAATTGTGCTGAGCGTTTAAGATCGTGTTTCATCAAGGCTCATTTTATTTGAATTGAATCAGTCTTTAAATTAAGAAGCTTCATTATTTTTGTCCAAAGGGCATGCTCCGCAGCCTCTCCAGCTGGCAGTCCACGGCTGCTGGCATCGCCTCCACCCCGTCTGCCCCCGGGGCAGTGTCTCCTGATTCCTGGCCCTGTGGACCACAGGCACATTGGTTTAGAAGAGTAGGACTGGCTGATGCCATAGCTGAGATTAAGGACCTGAGAGCTTTTCTTCCAGCAGCACGGCAGCACACTGCTTGAGTCACGAGGCTGGGGCAGCAGTACAGCCTGGAGGAGAAGGGATGTCACCAAGGGTGACCTTTGGAGACATTAGCAGAGGCTGGGTTATTTTTCTTTCCCTGGGTTTTGCAGCCCCCAAGGTGTCCCCATCCTGGGGTGTGCAACGCACAGCGTCCCATGCTTGGAGATCTCCCACCCGTGGGACTTGTGGGGGGAGGCAGAGGGGCTGGACCCACCAAGCTGGAGGTGACCTCCCTCCCAGGGGACAAGAGAGAGCAGCCCAGGAGCACCAGGCAGTGCAGGACCCACACCCCAGCACTGTGAGGCTGAAGCCTGGCCAATTACCCAGGCAGCTGCTGCTACCAAATCCCTGGCTCGCTGCGGTGTCCCACCGATGCCGCAGCGGGATCTACCGAGGACCCTCTCTGGGCTGGAGGGAACCAGGTCCAGCAGCATCCTTTGCCCTCTGAGATGTTACGGATTAGCTGGGGCTAATGAGCAGGCACGGACACACCACAAAACCACACTGCTAACCACACAGGGCTCCCCAGATCAACCCTTTATTGCCTTGATTCAGTACAATTCACACCAAAATCAGCACTAGGCAGCAGGCTGGCCGTGAGACGAGCAGCAGGGAGCGGTGGGCACCGGCTCCCCCGTCCCCCACGGCA